GACAGGCACCTTTCTTGGAGAGGGTGGAGATGATGGGTTGAGATCAGAGAAGGCTTCCTGGAGGAGGGTAAGTGGAAATGGAACAGGTAGACATCACAGAGCTCAGCGCAGGTCAGCCTGCATTTCAGAAGCAGCAAGCTTGAACTTTGGAAGTTTGAAGTTTAGGGAGGAGGTCCAGATTGGTGACATAATATGTGTGAAAATGCTCTATAAACTGGAAATCATTATGCAAGTAGAGTGTTTATATTAACTCTTATAAGTTCTAGTGAGTCTCTCTCATAATAAAGTCTTCAGGGAATTAAACTTTTAATTGTAGCCTTATAAAAAAAAATCACCAAGTCAGGATGAGCATTCAACTAGGTGCTCAAGTCCTTGCAAATGATGAAAAATCCCATGTGACACTATCTGATGTATACCCTCCTTCATCCAGGGTACCTAAAAAAGGGGACCAAACACCCTGCTTGGCCCAGAACAATCATAGTTATGCCTGTCAGCCCAGCACAATGTTTGACGGTGTCTCCACTCATTTTCAGAAGTGTACTGCTTGGAAGATTAAAGAATATAGTCACCCTATGTTGAACCCAACAGTGCTTCCAAAAATGCAACTGAGATTTCTTCATTTTCAGGAGATGGTCCGGATGCTGGTCCCCATCATGGACAGTATCCAGTCTTCTGTGGAGTCCGTCCTGAATCCAGGTATTTTCTTTGCTACAGTCAGTCTTAGGAACCTCAGACATTGTGAATCTCCCACACCAATGTCCTTCATGCATCAGGCATGAGTGGGGGGCTGCAAAGGCTTCCAGGTGAGCAATTTGCAGGTGACAATGGACCACCCCCCACCACTAACCTCCATTGATTTTGCCTTGGTCAGAGGACCTCCTCTGGCCATGGTGTCTTGCAGGGTAAGCAAGGGGGAAATGCAAACTATGACAATGTACCATTCCAGACAAGCCTCAACTTGCCCGAGGTGTCCCAGTGCCATTTCTGACCCCTTCACCAAAAACCACAGCTACCAAGGCCCAGCACATGACCGGTTCCATATTCATGTCTCCAAAATCAGTTTCTGAGGAAATCAATAACTCTGCTCATCAGTTGTCAGAAAGGATCATTTTACAATATTTGTGAGAATCTGTTCCTGATTTCTAAGCTTCCACTAAGCTCTCCAAGGTTATCTCAGGGAAGGGAACCTATGAAAGGATCGCCCATTTGTTGAGTGCACGCTGTGTGCAACAGATCCTTGCCGGACCCTGTACATGGATCATCCCAGTGGATTCTCACAGCACGCCTCGGAGGAAGAACACACCACACTCCATGCTCCCCATTCTACACACGAGAAAACTGACACTGAGAGGTTAAATTGCCCAAGGTCACAGTTTATGACACTGTAGACCTATGCTTTAACTCACCTCTGCCCCATGTATTTTTTTCATTTCTACCACATCGAAGACAAATTGTTCCAGGTTAAGACGTCAGTAAGGAACAGATGAGCAAAACCTGCTAAGGTACCGTTTATCTGGTATTTTCAGTCCTGTTCTCCTGCTCTCCCAAACCTCTGTCCTTTTCTAAGACAATTTCTGGCCACTGTGCTCTTCTCGGGCATTTGGAGACAGTAATTTTCTGGAACAACTCCTTGCTCTGACAAAAATCATTCCATTCAATTTTATCAGTCCTGTAATTGGTCCAAATAATTTTGTTTCACGAAATTTTCCCTTTCAAAATGTTGGCAAATTCTTCTATTCAGAGTTGTCTAAAAATGTTCTAACTATATTTTATCTTTACTCCTTTGCAGCCAGCATGTTTATTAAAAATCCAGTCACTGCCAGAAATAAAACTAAATCCAACTCAAATTCTCCTAAATGTATCTTTCCAGTAGCTTGATAGTGTGTGGTATATTCCCAAATATCTTTTAAATGAAATCAAATAATTATATTTATTAAAAACATTGTCATATAGAATTTGATTCAAGCCAGGTCAACAAATACCTATTGAAAATCAACCATGCTCCATCGTTTCAGAGGGTGGGAGTACAAAAATGACAGAGATATGTCCCTAACCCTCTATAAAAATTAGTCAGGTGGAGGAGATAAAATATGCACAGTAATAACTATCATACAGGCCTTTTTAAAAAATGGAATTTCTTACTATTATGTACATAGCACACTGAATGATGTTTGTTTACCTGCATTTTTCTTTCCCTGCACTGAGCTCCCTGAGAACTGGGAACTTGTCCTAATTTTTCTTTTGCAGTCCAGCACCAAATTCAGAGATTCATTCATAATGCGTACTTGATAAGTATGTGTTTAATTGAATTGAGGTGCCTTAAACTTAAAACTGATTGCCATAAACAAGTGGCAATCCACTTACAGTGAACCTTGAAGGAAAGTAGAGGCTTCAACCATCAAGAGGTAGTGAAAGGATCATTCCCAGCAGTGGGAATAGAAAGATAAAAGAGAAGGTGGAATTACATGCATTGCTATGGTTCCATCCTGCTGAATTTCTCCGAAACTCTCAGAGCCCAGCAAGGTGTCTACAGCCTGAAGCTGCACCCAGATCAGAGAGCCCCACAGGTGCCAAGAGGGGGTTTGGTGAGGATGGAGCCCAAGACATTCAGGAGTCCAGCTGCCCCTTCCCAGAACAAGGGTCCTGGGATATGGCTGATTCTGTTCCCTCAGTTCCCTTCCAGCAAGGTTCCTGACTGTCACAGCCTGAAAGCAGCTGAACTGCCATTCCCCTTCACTGCCTGCCAGGTTTGCCAGAGCCTCTAGCACCTTTAGTCTTGAAATCAATGGCTATCTTTCATCCTATCTTGTTTTCCCAACTTTAACCTGCTGCCTGTCCCACCTGGACTCTGAGTTCTGCCGGGAAAGAAGCTCTCTTCCTCCTCGTTTCTCTTAACCTGCCCTCAGCACGTGCTGAAGCTCCTCAGCCCTAAGAGCCTAGCATTACCACGGGGATCAGGTAACTTCCCAGCAGGGAGCTGCTGCATCCCCAGCTAGTAACCTGATGGACTGACTACTCCAGTGAAGGCCACAGCCCCATCCTTGGAGGCCAGGGCTGGGTCACTGTACAAGAATCACCAGGGAGGTGTGTCAAAAATGCATGGTCTAGTTCTGACCGCTCCCCCCAGAGATTCGGATTAAGTGGCTCAGATGTGTGGCAGAGGAGTCTGCGTGTTTAACAAGCTCCCCAGCAGATTCTGAGAAGCAGCTGGGTTTGGAACCCTCCATTCCTGCCACTGGTTTTTGCACCTGTTCTAAGCCCTTTGGTTGGCTCTGAAACACCTGCCTTAGTGACTATTCAGTGTCCTAGGACATAGGACATCATGCTGCATAGGCCCCCAGCCCCTCTGCAATGCTGAACCTTCCCCTGGCTGGGTTGCTCAGCAAGTGTGGAGCCCGCATCTCAGCCTGCCTTGATGTCAGCCTGGACACGTCATTATCTGGCATTCTGCTGTTCTTCAGATGCTCAGGGCTCAACTGTGTTCCCCTCATAAAATTTTCATTTTGTTTTTTTGTTGTTTTTAAATATTGAGTCTTACTATGTTGTCCAGGCTAGTCTTGAATACCTGGGCTTAACTGATCCTCCCACCTTGGCCTCCTGAGTAGCTGGGACTACAGGCACCACCACACCTGGCCTTTTATCTTCTAATGCCCAGTCTGGCAGCCCAGGGTCCCATGGTTTTAAGCCACATCATGTTCCCCTCCCCCACCTCACACAAGTACATGCACAGCACTCTTAAGTTGCCCTCTACCCACCTCCCACTTCTGCCACTGCCAGGCCTGTCCAGAAGTTAGTGACATTCTCTGCTGTCCTCTTCTGAAGTTAAAAGAGACAACATGTGTAAGTCCCTGTCACTGTGGTTGGCACATAGATCTCCAATAAGCATCTTCCAGAGAATATAGAAGAGACCCCACTGAGTCTGATGGCTAGATTCACTGGGACACTAAAAATGACAATATGCACTAATATTTATGCTCATGCCTAGTGCCAGGCATCTTTGAAGACTTTCCTATGTTCCAGCTTGTTTAACCCTGATGACTCTCTCAGCTAAGTACTATTAGGATTTCAGTTTACAAAGGATGAAATGGAGGCCCGGCGGGTAAAGTAAGTTATCCAGAGTCAAAGAGAGAAGGAGGGGTGGAGTCCGGGGTTCAGTCCAGACAGTCTCCACAGCAGGCTGCAAGCAGCACCAGGCTGTCCTTCAAGGTTAAATCCCCCTCCAGTCAGGAGACATCTGCTCTCGCCTTGCCCACCTGCCCATGTCCCAGCCCAGAGGGAAATACATCCCACATAATTGCTCTGGGCTGTCGGAAGATATCGTCTCTTCCCGATGACAGGTGCTAGGAACAGCATTGGAAACCTTGACTTGACAGGGCTGAATTTAATATTGTGGGAAGGAGCCGTCTACAGGGGACCCCAGAGCTCCTTTTGCCTTCCAAAGGGCAGGAAAACAGATGCTGATATTATAAAAGAATTGCTCCTTGGATAGACCAAGTACAAAATGTTTCAAGGACTCAGAAGGAAAAAGCTGTCACCACCCCCTCAATTTTTTCTCCAGCAAAGCTGTGTGCAAAGTTAAGATCCTTCCTCTCCATCCCAGGGAACCCAGGAGAGACAGACTGAAATTTTCAAAAAGATTCTTAACCAAACAATAGGAAAATGAACAACACAGATTTAAAAACAAACAAACAAAAATCATGCCTGTACTTGAATTTACAAAGTCCAAGTTTTTGACCATATGATAGCATTTTTATGCTTTTGTTTATTTTTTAAAATGGGATGCTAAATATTTTAATAAATTATAAGTTTCTTCTCTTTCTAGTCTGACACATGAACTTGATCTTTGACAATAAATTAAGTCAAATTCAGTTCAATTCAACATTTTCCCAGCACTGACCAAGTACTAGGCCCTGTGCTTTTTTTATTCCCCACCCCCCCAGCTTTTCTGAGATATCACTGACAAATAAATTAAATTGTATAAATTTAAGGTGCACAATGTGATGATTTGATATACGCTTGCATTGTGAAATGATTACCACAGTCAAGTTTGTTAACACATCCCTCACCTCACATAGATACCTTTTTTTTGGTTTTGGTTTGGGGAGGGAGGTTGGTGGTAATATCTACTCTCTTAGAAAATTTCAAGTAAACAATACAGTATTGTTCACTGCCATCACCATGCTGTGCATTCGATCCCCAGAACTCATTCATCTTATAACTGGGGGTTTGTATCCTCTGACCAACGTCTCCCCAACCCCCACCATTCTACTCTCTGCTTCGATGAGTTTGACTTTGGTCTTGGGGCCATGAGACGAGTCAGGTGCTGCCGGCCTCCAGGTGCCCACAGAAAAGAGACTTGTGACATCGCTTCACTTGACCAGCCTTAAAAAGAAAGAAAAGGAAAAAAGAAAAGAGACATGAGATAAACAGAGGGGCAAACCTAACTTTTCCTGTCCAGAAAGTCTCCTCTCCGATGGAAGGTCTACTCATTGCACACTCCCTGCATCTGCACACAGGACAGCTCTGACCTTCCGGGTCATGGTCCTTTCCAGAGAAACAGTGTGAGCCCAGCCAGCTGGGGTCCCTACTTTCCTGTTGGTCTCTGGGGAAGAAAAGAAGGCTTGAGCCTATTCCCTTTCTTCTTTCTCCCGAAAATGATAGGACACTGGCCAGTTGCTTTATTCTTCCTTTGACAGATTTTTGAAAAACAAAAACAAAACAGAGGCTCTGACTGGTTATGAGTTGCACCCAAATTTAGAGAACTAGTAAGTGAAAGCTGGGACTTAGCCCACTCTGTCCGCCAACAAAACCACAGCCCCCTGCTCGCACGGACCGGTTGGCTGAGGGAGACCTGCCCCGAGACCTGCTCCTGTTAGGAGTCAGCTGCGTTGTCCTCACAGTGTCGTTGGCAAGGTGGCACGTTTCCTACAGGAGGCCAAGGAAAGAGAAGAGAAGACTGAATGCAGAATGCAGTTTGCGACTACGATGTTGAAGAGAGAAAATGTACAAGTCAAAGGAAGCGGGAAATCCAGCATCAGGCTACTCTGAGGGACTTGAATTCTCTTCCCTTCCCTCCCTCGTTCCACATTCCAGACTTGCGTGCTAAGATAAGCTGCTTTTTCCTCCTCTAATGCATACGTTAAATGTGTGTGCACTGGTGCGCGCGCGCACACACACATGCGCGCGCACACACAGCGGTTGCTATGGGAACCATCCTGGAGCATAGCCTGTCTTTTGTTCAATTAGAATTTCACCCTCACGCCTTCTTGAAGCGGAATACACTTTCATTCACAACAGGATGGTGAGACAAGGGTGTCTGGATGGGTTTCATTTTACCATGTGCTGCCTGAATTTCTCCACATCTGATCGTCTTTCCAGAGACGCCCAGCACGCCGGCAATCGTGGAATTAGTCCCTGGTTAATGTTGAGCAGGCACACGGTGCTCAGGCACACGGTGCTCAGGCACCCAGTAGGCCTCTCGCTCTCCTCTGGGCTCTGTGGAGGAGGAGATGAGCCTTTTCGACCACAGCTGCCCCAGTGACCCGGAAGGAGTCCTTCCTGGGGCCTCCCCGGCCCTCTGCCGGAAACCAGGAAGGAGGAGGCAGTCAATGCCCATTAAGCCAGGGCTGAGGAATTCCATCTCTGTGATGGTTTTCTCAGGGGCTCCGCTCAAGTTGACCTTCCCTCTCTTAGTGAAGAATGAGGCTTGCCAATGAATCCTGTAAATACAATTGCTGAGGAGCATTAATGCAAGACAGCCAACTGTCTTGAAGCACCTCAGAGGAGTCCATTTACGAACACAACGTGCCCAGTCAGTAGATGTAAGGACTGCTTGAGCTGATGCGCAGATAAAAATCTTTTTTATCTGTTCATTAAATCATCCGGTTGGGAGCCAGAAGACCTGGGTTCATGTCTCATTTCCAGCATTTACTACCTGTTGGCTCCACAAATGTCTTAAATTCCTTGAGCCACAAATTTCTCACCTAAGAGCTAATAACACATACTATTGTGTAAACCAGATGAGAGGTGAATGGTAAATAATGACCGTGTGAACCTTGCAAATTGCAAAATACATGTGTTAGTTGGTTTTGTTACAGTTATTGCTAATGAGGCCAAGCTCCTGCACAACTTGCTTGCCAAACTATGAGTGAGGAATCACAGTTCTTTTTATTATTTCTATTACTTTAAAAATGTTTTTAGTGAGTGACTAATCTCAGGGACTCGGAGTAGACACCATGCTGCCTTAAGCTGGGCTGGGAGCAAACCTTCCTTATCAAATTCCTTAAGGCAGGACACCTGTCCTATATCTGAAAGCAAAGTGCGTAGGCTTCATCGAAAAAACAAAAGCTGCCCACTTAGAATGAGATACTCCTGGGAACCTCTGGACTAGTCAGTTTTCAATACATAAAACCACTCTTTCTTCTACTTAACCCTACCTTGCAAATAAGCATAAAAATGAGCCAATGTCTTAGAGAAGACAGGAGACTGACCCCGCTCCCCACTGTGCAGGAACGCAGGTACCCTAAGGAGATAAAATAGACATAAAACCCCCAGTACCGCATCTGACAGTCTAGTCATAGGTGGTTGCCATTGTTATAACCTAAGCGAATCTGATTATTTTCCAAAGTTTATGTCCTGTCTGGCTCCCGTGGACTCAGCTGCTCTTGGAGAATATGACTATAATGAATGTTACAAAGAAATTGTGAGGAAGCTGGTGACGAATATTAAATAAACAGAGGTGAAGGATGATAAATACACTGCATTTCTGATTTCCTCGAAGAGGCAAGTGTTCTGTGAAGACAAGAAGTGTGCGAGGCATTTGGAATGACGATGGCGATCTGATTGGGCCCCTGCATGCTGAGAGCCTACTGTGTGCTATACATACCTGGGCATTGGACCTTCAAGAGGGCCTGGCAAGGTGAGAATTTCTCTTGCTATTTCACAGACAGAGTGATTCAGGTTCAGGTAGGCGGAATGGCATGTCACGCAGCTAGTGAATGATGGAAACACATGCTGGGCACAGTACCCAACCGGGAGAGGCAAAGCATTTTAGCAGCCATTGTCTTAAAGTTGTTCAAATAAAATAGACTTCATAACATCTTACGAATTTCCTGAGAAACTGGACCTCTTTGGTCTGCTTCCCAGATCTTGTTCACCAGAATTTTCATAAATATATGTACACTATCACAACTGGTTGCTTACTCCAGAATCATTTATTGATTATCTACTATATATGGTGCAATGTATCAGACAGGTTAGGTGATAAAAAAGATATTAGAATTCATTTCTTATCCTCATGGACTTCAGAGTCTAAGAGAAAACCTACATAGTTGTTTTACAAATATATTACAATACTTATAAAACAATACTATAGCATAATACAATGTTAAATCAAGTTACCATTTGACATATTATATACATATATATATATTATAGTCTAACACTGTATAATGTATTTTTAAATGCCCAAGGTGTTCAGAGTAGGGAGAAATTAATTTCCAGAGCAGAGATCAAGGCAGGCATTTGGGAGATGTAGAAGCTTAACTTGGCTTTTAGGATGTGACTGTGGGTAAAGGAAGAAGGTAGGACAGTCTAGGTAGAAGCAGTTGATTCTGTATTCACTGCCTTTCGAATGACCAAAGAAAGTCTAGGTTTGTGAAGACAGTCTGGGAGTTGTGAAGACAGTCTGGGAGTTGTGAAGACAGTCTGGGGAGACAGTCATGGTGCTCATTTACTCTTTCTTTCAGAGAGGACTCAGGGAGTGCTTATCACCTGCTAGGTCTGGTTCTAGGTACTGTGAACACAGCAGAAAATAACCCAACCTCCTGCACTTGCAAAGCTTACATTCTAATTCTCCCAGTTGTCAATGCTTTGATGAATAAACAGATACAGGAATGAAGATTGGGGTGAACTGTGCTGTTTCACATAAATAGGTTGAGAGAGGTCTCCCATTCTCCCTGTGAAGGTGAGCTGTTTATTTGAGCTCCCTAAGTGGGAAGGGACAGAGCCCCCCAAGCTTCCCACTCTGTGCCTGAGCCCAGCCAAGAGGTCTCCTGGCCAAACCTCAGCCTCCATCTTCCCAGAAGTCATCACCATCGTATCACTTTTTTGAATTAGTTTCTAACCAACCAGGGGCAAAATATTTATGGCAAGATAGTCTTGGCTGCTAAAAAGCAAATCACATTAAAGCACCTGATATTTCAAGTTTTCAACAGAATTCGTTTTAATTAGAATGCTCTCCTGCTCCTATAAGATAAATACAGGACATGGTATCAGACAATCGGTTTTACTCTTATGACTCGTCAAAGATAAATCAACTAGAGAAATCTCCAGTCATTTTCAGACATCTATTTTTTAAATGCCATAAAAAATCAGGATATACTTTAAATTATTTTTAGGCTGCTGGAATCTATAACATTTAGGAGTGTGTTTCAAAGCCAAGGATTCATATGCACAGTTTCACGTTATCTGCACAAATTGGATTCCTGGCCTCTGGTCACTAATAAACTTAGTCTTCTTCAATGTATAAAATTGTTTCTTCACTGTTCAATTCATTTAACACACCAATGGCTTTTGTAACACTTCTTTTTATTTTTATTTTCTGATTTGATGCCAATTTTTCAAGATAAATTGATGTCCAGACCTGCAAATGTATATAAAATTTTAGTTTTTTAATATTAGTCACTTAGAGCTAAGAAAAAGATTTTGCTCATTTTTTCAATATTATCGTTAGATTTTTCTAATTTTTAGATTTGTTTCAACATTTTACAAGAATCCTTGATAGTTTCCCAAAAACTGGCATTTGGTAATGTGTTACTTGCCAAATTCTAAGTGAGGAAACACAGTTATTTTTATGACTCTGAGAAGTGTTTTCAGGAATCACACAGTAAGTGACAAATATCAGCTTTTATTGTATGATAAAGTTTATATTTTCAATAGTAAAATGATATTAACAAGACAGTACAAATTTGAATTCTTTAGGAAAAGCTGGGAGAACTTCCTCCCAGTTAAGGAGTGATCTTAATACCCAAACTGACAACAATTAAACACTGTTTCACTCAAACATGCTACAACCTATACTATGAATTTTGGCAAGTCTAAGTTTCTTGTGCTTCTAAAAATAAAATCCTGTGAACTAGATTTTTTTAATTTTATTTTACTGTGGTATGAATACTTAACATGAGTTCTACTCTCTTAACAGACTTTTTGAGTGTGCAGGACTATTATTCCCTAAAGTTGCAACCTTGTAGAGCAGATCTCTAGAACTTGCTTATCTCACATAACTGAAATAACAGACCTGTTGATTGGCAACTCCTCCTCTTCCCCTCCCCAACCCCCAGCATGCACCATTCTAGTCTTTTCTTCTATGAGTTTGACTATTTTAGATACTTCATATTTTAAAGGGGTAGAATTGTTTATTTATAAGAACCATTCATTCAGCTATTCACTTATACAGTGCACTAGGTCCTTTTCCTTTCATCATTTTACTTCACCCTCACAACAACTCTGAGAGGTGGGCATTACTGCAAAGGTTAAACGACTGCCCCAGGCCACGGCCACATGAGTGGCAGAGGTGGAACTGGGACCCAGGAAGATCTGACTCAAAGACAGAGGCTTGTCCCTTCACTGCTGTCCCATTGGGACTGTGGAACAGAGTTGTGGTATTTCTTTCATCCAGGTTCTCTTATCAAAAACTCTTGGCTGTCTACCTGCTAGACTTTGAGAAGGTGTGTGACCCTATATCAGTTCTTCACTGCACAACTCTAGAGAGACTATTTACTTCAATATTTACAGAGCAGCTTCCCAGAACCAGACAGTGCTGTAGCTTAGACCATATCGTGGGGGCTTTACATGGAGGGTAAGGAATTTACTCTACTTCTATAGACATGGAAAGCCTTTGAAAGATTTAAGGGAGGGGACACGTAATGAAGGTATTGCTTTTAGGAAAAACTCTGGCAACCTGTGGAGGACAGTTAGGCTATGGCCAGGTTTGAAGCTAATTCCAGATGCATAGGCAAACAACATGAAAAAAGAAAATCAAGAAATAACCGGATTGAAAGTCATATATTGTACTTGTAAAAAAAAAAAAAAAAAAGAACCAACTTGAGAAAATATTCCATTTTAATAGCAACCCAATAAATTTACATGAAACAAATATGTACTTTTTAATTTAAATTAGCAGAGTTCAAAAATAAGAATACCTAGTGCTAATAAGCACATAAGTTAGGTCATTAAATATGAAATGTCTGATTTTGAATCAATAGTGTAGCTTATCAACTCAACCAGGAGCAGGTACATTACTTCAAGGTGTGACGCCATAATGTAACACAATTTTGGCCATCTTAAGGTTTTTTATGCAAAGCAAAGAAGGCTGGAGAGTGCAGTAGTCAATGGAATATGAAAGGCATTTTCCAATACTGTGTGAGAATTGATATTTCTGGGCGAATGGTCCAGAGTTGGAGCGTGAGATGTCAGGTTCCGGGTACACGGGTTCTGCGTGAAAATGGTGATGACAGGGAGCTTTCCAAGGTCCAGCTCTGTTAACGTGAGCGTGGTTTGTTACATGTGGGTTCCTGCGAAAGATTGAGGCCTATCTGGACCAGTGCTCGCTGGTTCATTGCAAGCGTCCTTCGCAATTTTGGTCCAATTGGTGCAGTAGACCTCTCCCTGTTAACTTGGATGACCAGTTTCATGAGCTGCTGTGGAATAAACAGTGAGGCACCAAATAGAACATTACTTTTTTTGAGTGAATTATTAGGTTTTTGACTGTGTTTTGGCACTTCATTTATAACCATTGGCGACACTTGCATGTCAAAAGAATCGTTTTTTCACCAATACAATACAGTGTAGAAGATGGTTTGGCTTATGTCATTGGCAGCAAAGAAGGAGCTTGTAAGACTGATTCGTCTTCTGGAGCTCTTGTCTTGGTTACCTCTGGTCCAGCTTCATGGTCGTTGGCCTTTGGTTGCTCAAATGGCCCAAGTGTTGTGAATAGCCAGACTAGCTGCTAATTCACGCAGTAGGTCGAGATGGTTCGCTTCCACTACAGCTTCGCTCATCCTTTCCACTTCGTCCGTCTCGCAGGTCACCTCTGGATACTTTCAAATTAAATCGGCAAGCAGATCTTTCAAACATGGACTATATGCGTTATTAGCCACATCTTCCCAACACTTCATTGTTTTTGGGCTGGTCTCGCCTGATTGGTTCGCACAATGGAACTCATTCA